CTATCTATCTATCTATCTATCTATCTATCTATCTATCTATCTATCTAACAGATTTCTGTTGTATCAACACATTACAGTCACCATGGGAAATAATTCTGTTGGCCTTACACCACCAGTAAAAAGTGTTAATAGATGTAAACATTTTTTCTGCAGTTGGTGAAGCTCCAGCGCTGAAAGAAGACATCCAAGACGTAACCACTAAACTTGGCGAGTCTGGCACTCTGACCTGCGGCATCATCGGCAGACCTCTGCCCGAGATCAAGTGGTACCGCTATGGCAAGGAGCTGATCCAAAGCCGCAAGTACAAAATGAGCTCAGATGGCCGTAACCACTCCCTGAGCATCCTGACCGATGAGCAGGAAGACGAGGGCCTGTACACCTGCAGAGCCATCAACGAGGCTGGTGAGATAGAGACCAGCGGCAAGCTCCGTCTGCAGGCGGCGCCCCAGTTCCACCCGGGCTTCCCCCTCAAGGAGAAGTACTATGCCGGGGCCGGCACCAGCCTCCGCCTCCACGTCGTCTACATCGGCCGTCCCATTCCACAGATCATGTGGTTCTACGGCAAGAAGCCCCTGAACCCGTCTGAGGGTGTAATTATTGAGAACACAGAAAGCTACACCCACCTGGTGGTGAGGAACGTCCAGAGGAAGACCAACGCTGGTCGCTACAAGGTGCAGCTCAGTAACAAGTTTGGAACCATCGACACTGTTCTGCGTGTTGAAATCCAAGGTAAAACCTGACTTTCAAGAGCATGAAATGCTCCAAAACAGTATAGGTCATCTTTCCAGTAGAGGCATCTGTGCCTTCTTATGGGAATGCCTCTGTGTGTCTCATGGTTACTTACTCTTCCTGCTTTTTTCCAGACAAACCCTGCATGCCAGAGGGCCCTCTTGTTGTCGATGCCTTGCTCAAGAGCTCGGTTATCATCAGCTGGAAGGTTCCAAAGGACGATGGCGGGTCTGTGATCACCAACTACATTGTGGAGAAACGTGAGGCCAAAGAGGGAGAGCAGTGGAACCTGGTGTCCTCCTCTGTGCCCGGCACCACCTGCCGGGTTCCCAACCTCATCGAGAGCGCCGGCTACTACTTCAGAGTCTCTGCTCAGAACCAGTATGGCGTCAGCGAGTCTCTGGAGATCCCATCAGTGGTCATCATTAAGAGTCCATTTGGTAGGCCTGCTCATGTTGTACTCCCCAGTTCAGATTTCTGTAGCCATGCTGCAGAGAGTGGGGATTTGAGCACCTTTATAACAATGTCTCTCTCTTTCTCAGAAAAACCCGGCATTCCTCAGCAGCCCTTCATTATCAGTTCAACCCGGGACTCCTGTGTTGTGTGCTGGAAGCCCCCGAGCAGTGATGGTGGAGCCAAAATCACCAACTATTACCTGGAGAAACGGGAGAAGAAGCAGAACAAATGGATGTCTGTGACGTCTAAAGACGTAGCAGAGACCAACTTCGAAGTCAATGGCCTGATTGAGGGCTTTGAGTACGAGTTCCGGGTCAAGTGTAGGAACATGGGCGGTGAGAGCGACTGGAGTGAGATCTCCGCACCCATCATTCCCAAGTCCGAACAGGCCCCTCGTGCTCCTGCATTCAGAGAGGAGATCAGAGACATGAATGTCAAATACCATGCCAATGCCACCTTTGTCACCAAGGTAAGACATTGGGAGACTTTATTTTTATGAGCTGAGTGCACATTGTTAGTTCTTGTCCCACAACTTTTTTTTTTTCCTGTGATAAGGTGGTGGGACATCCAAAACCTGTGATCAAATGGTACCGCAGTGGAAAGGAAATTCAAGCAGATGGAACAAAGATCAAAGCTCAGGAATTCAAGGGCGGATACTACCAGCTGGTCATCACCACTGCTGATGAGAGTGATGCTACGGTTTACCAAGTCAGAGCAACCAACCCGTCCGGATCCATCTCTGCAACAGCCAACCTGGAGGTGGAAGGTGGGAATCATTCAATTAACTTTGTCCTTCATGCCTAGAATCCACCAATTTAAAACATATGTTACATTAAAGAACAACCTTTGGACAAACCGTTCTATCAGTCAGAGGGGGTCACTTCTGCAACAAACATCAGGGAATGTCCCACTTATTGCACATTTAAAAAGCACCTTAAACAGTTTCTTAAAAGTTCACAGGCACGCACTCACTAATTTTTTCATTGTCTGAACGTGTGTTTGGACTGATATTGTATTGTGTGATTTTGTGTTGTTTTGTCCTCCTGCCTCAGGACGACAGATGTAAATTAGCAACTATGCTATAATCTGGCTAATTTATAATCTGTACAGAAGTGTAACATTGTTCATTAATGTGCACTGTCCTGATTACATAAATAAAAAAATAAAAAAGTAACACCAACTCTTTTCTAATTCCAGTTCCTGCAAAGATTCACCTGCCCAAAGAGCTCCAGGGAATGGGCGCCGTGCACGCTGTGCGTGGCGAGACCATCACCATCAAGATCCCCATCACTGGAAAGCCCGAGCCAGCAATCATTTGGCAGAAGGGTCAGGAGATCCTCTCCAACTCTCCATATCACCAAGTCATCACCACCAGGTCTTTCACATCCCTGGTATTCCTGAAGGGAGTTCAGAGGAAGGATACTGGCTACTACGCCATCACAGCAAAGAACAGGTTTGGAACAGATAAGCAAACCATTGAGGTGGATGTGGCCGACATCCCTGATGCTCCAAAGGGTCTTGTGGTGAGCGACATCTCAAGGGATTCCATCACACTCACCTGGGAGCCGCCCGCCAATGACGGTGGAAGCAACATCATCGGCTATGTAGTTGAGAAGTGTCCCACCACTGCAGACCGGTGGATCCGAGCCGGCCAGACTGTGGACTGCAGCTACACCATGATTAATGTATTTGGAAAAACAAAATACCAGTTCCGCGTCATTGCAGAAAACCAGTTCGGCCTGAGTGCTCCTTGTGCACCGACTGAGCCAATCACGACAAAGGAAGACAAGTCTGTAATCAGAAACTATGACGAGGAGGTGGACGAAGCCAGAGAGGTCACCAAAGAGGAGGCTTTGTTCTACAAGGTGAAGGAGCTGTCCTCCAAGTACGTCATCTCAGAGGAGCTGGCCCGCTGCCAGTTCGGAGTGGTCCACCGCTGCGTGGAGATCGCCACAAAGAAGACTTTCATGGCCAAGTTCATCAAAGTCAGAGGCACTGACCGTGAGATAGTTCTCAGGGAAATAGAGGCCCTTAATGTTGCAAGGCACAAGAACATCATCTATCTGCATGAGTACTTTGAAAGCATGGAGGAGATCATTCTGATCTTCGAATTCATGTCTGGAGTCGACATCTTTGAACGCCTCGGTACCAGCAACTTTGAGCTCACGGAGCAGGAGATTGTGCGCTACCTGAGACAAGTGTGCTCAGCTCTGGAGTTCCTGCACAGCCACAACTTTGGTCACTTTGATATCCGCCCAGACAACATTGTCTACGCAACCAGGAGAAGTACCAACATCAAGATCATTGAGATGGGTCAGTCTAGGCTCCTGGTGCCAGGAGAAAACATCAGAATGCTGTTTTCAGCCCCGGAGTATTACGCCCCGGAAGTCCACCGCCACGACCTGGTCACCAC